ACAGGGAGACTAACAGTGTGTACTGTACACAGGGAGACTAACAGTATTTACTGTACACAGGGAGACTAACAGTATTTACTGTACACAGGGAGACTTACATTGTGTACTGTACACAGGGAGACTAACAGTGTGTACTGTACACAGGGAGACTAACAGTGTGTACTGTACACAGGGAGACTAACAGTGTGTACTCTAAACAGGGAGACTAACAGTGTGTACTCTAAACAGGGAGACTAACTGTGTACTGTTCACAGGGAGACTTATAGTGTGTACTATACACAGGGAGACTAACAGTGTGTACTGTACACAGGGAGACTAACAGTGTGTATTGTACACAGGGAGACTAACTGTGTGTACTGTACACATGGAGACTAACAGTGTGTACTGTGCTACCAGGAGGTTAACAGGTGTGTGTAATGTACACAGGGAGACTAACATTGTGCACTGTACACAGGGAGAATAACAGTGTGTACTGTACACAGGGAGACTAACAGTATTTACTGTACACAGGGAGACTTACATTGTGTACTGTACACAGGGAGACTAACAGTGTGTACTGTACACAGGGAGACTAACAGTATGTACTGTACACAACTAGACTAACAGTGTGTATTGTACACAGGGAGACTAACAGTGTGTACTGTACACAGGGAGGTTAACAGTGTGTATTGTACACAGGGAGACTAACAGTGTGTACTGTACACAGGGAGGCTAACAGTGTTTATTGTACACAGGGAGACTAACAGTATGTACTATAACAGTGTGTATTGTACATAGGGAGACTAACAGTGTGTACTGTACACAGGGAGGCTAACAGTGTGTATTGTACACGGAGACTAACAGTGTGTACTGTACACAGGGAGGCTAACAGTGTTTATTGTACACAGGGAGACTAACAGTATGTACTATAACAGTGTGTAATTGTACATAGGGAGACTAACAGTGTGTACTGTACACAGGGTATTGGGTTGTACTAAAATATCGGAGATTGGCAGTGTGTACTGTGTAAATAGGAGGACTAGCCAGGTGTATTGTACATTGTAAGACTAACAGTGTGTACTGGGTACACAGGGGAGGTTAACAGGTATTATGCCATAGGAGACTACTGCGGTACTGTGGGGCTAATAGGAGGCTAATAGTGTGTATTGTACACGGAGACTAACAGTGTAAAAATTGCACACATTAGGGAGACTAACAGTGTGTATTGTACATAGGGAGACTAACAGTGTGTACTGTACACAGGGAGGCTAACAGTGTGTATTGTACACGGAGACTAACAGTGTGTACTGTACACAGGGAGGCTAACAGTGTTTATTGTACACAGGGAGACTAACAGTATGTACTATACTTAGAAACTAATTAGTTGACACATAGAATTCAGATATTGTCCATATTTGAGTGATTAAATTTAAAACACTCACTTATGCTGTTTTTGTTACCACCAGGAATGAGTGCCTTCAGTTTACAGCCGTTCGACAGACCAGATGGGAACCAGTCATGGAAGGTCCTCCGGCTAGTTCCCCCGAGTTTGATCGCTGTGTCACTCCTCTTTGCCTGCTGTCTTCAGGGGAGTTAAATCCATTGTGGAAGGAAGTTGATGTTGCTGGAGTGGTATTGAGGGTGGGGCTGTTGAACAAAGGGCTTCAGTTGGTGCACATTGTTGATCACCACATTAACATCCTCACTCTCAAGTTCTGGGGAGGTCTCAAGGTAACCATAACTTGTCTAACCGATATTGATTCACAAATCTTCACCATACTGTTAATGAATTTAACTATTTGATTAGTAAGGATGACTTACATATAGTAGTCCCTCACCAACCATGGAAGTTAAGTTCCTGAAATATCCGGTGGTTGGCCAATCTGCGACTGGCAAGACTAAACTCTAATGTGAAATAGGGGCTTAGGTTCCATGGCCGCGAATAACACTCGTCAGAGCTGCAGAAAGACTCTCGGCCAGATTGAAAGGATACACCAGGACTGGTTTGATGAAAATGACCTGGCAATCAATGTACTCATTAATGATAAACGTGCTGCTTTAACCAACTGGCAGAATAACCCTCAGTCTCGGACCAAAGTTACAGTCGACCCTCGTTAATTCGGACCCCTTTAATCCGGATTTCGGATAATTCGGACAAAATCTGAACTTTTTTTTTTTTTTTTTTTTGTGAATACGCCCACGCGACCTTTGTTAAATGGTCCGACCACTGCTGGGATAAAACACCAGCGTGTTTTACAACATCTCCACCACTAGTGTGGGGGGATGCAACTTTTAGCTTCAGACATGAAAAATATTTACCATTTACTGCCAGTAAACAATGGAAACGTAAAATATGTACAAATTAGTAATGAAAAGTTGTGCAGTTCCTTCAGCAAATGAAGCTCATCAACTTACAATAGGCTAAATTACCTTACAGCGTGTTTTCAGTAGTCTATGTTGAAGTTATTTGCACAGGCTAACTTATCATATCATATACGGTATCACAGTTCTCATTGATCTACAAAAAATACCGGTAATAAAAATCTTTTCGATATTTCACACTTAATATAATACCCAGTAATCTACTTCAACCTCCCATTGTTTACAACGACGCATGACGCACCACCAGCTGTTGAGTATCAGCTAGACGGTACACGTGTTTTTCGAATCGTTTTCAGTTAAAAACTGTTACATCACATGTATATTTTACCTTAACTGTGCCTGAATGAATATATTCTCGGAAATAAATAGTAGTTTTGCTGAAACGTGATATATTTTAATGTAAAATAGGATAAAATACATGACGAAAACAAAAGATTTTACCTAACCTTCTGATGTTCAAGAGATGTTACTCGTTTTTGTAATAGTTTTTGGTTAAAATACTGTTATATTACAATGGTATTCTATTCATACTGTGCTTGATACAATGCATTCACAGAAATGTAATAATTTTTGCTGAAATGACGTAGGTATTACAGTGGAAAGTGGGATAAAATCGTGACGAAAACAATGACTTTCGCTTTCTTTCGTTCAAAAGATGTTACCATAATCGCTTTTCGATTGGTTTTCAGTTAAAAAACTGTTGTATTACAATAATATTCTATCCTAATTGACTTGATTAAATACTACGATACCATATTTCTGAATATTTTCATTAAAATCCATCCAAATCATTTTCCTTGTCATCGTCTGCAGCACCAAACAGCTTCTCCCAGTCCTCTCCTTGAACAGGGCTAGAGGGTACGTGTTTTTCGAATCGTTTTCAGTTAAAAAACTGTTACATCACACATATATTTTACCTAAACTGCGTCTGAATGAATATATTCTCGGAAATTAATAGTAGTTTTGCTGAAACGTGATGTATTTCAATGTAAAATAGGATAAAATACATGACAAAAACAAACGACTTTACCTAAGCTTCCGATGTTCTTGAGATGTTATTCGTTTTTTTAATAGTTTTCGGTTAAAATACTGTTATATTACAATGATATTCTATTCATACTGTGCTTGATATAATACATTCACGGAAATGTAATATTTTTGCTGAAATTACGTACGTATTACAGTGGAAAGTGGGATAAAATCGTGACGAAAACAATGACTTTCGCTTTCTTTCGTTCAAAAGATGTTACCGTAATCGCTTTTCGAATGGTTTAGTTATAAAAAACTGTTGTATTACAATAATATTCCCTCCTAATTGACTTGAATAAATACTTTAATGGAAATATACAATATTTTTGTTGAAACTACCCACGTTTCAGTGTAAAGTGTCATAATAATAAATGGTAAATAATTTGCCTTCGGCACTCGGTGTTTCAGGCACGGCGAGCCTCAGTTTATAGGACGTAGAGTGTTTTTACTGAAGGTTTTGTTGTTCCATTACCCTCAAAAACATGGGTCGACCTATAAACGAGGAATATCATAAATTAACGATTTCTTGGTCATAAAATCAGGGTCGACCTATAAACGAGGGGGGGTTATAGACGAGTATATACAGTATGCAAGGCTAAGGACAAACTCACTGCATTTTCTTTGAAATATAACGCAATATTAACCCCTAAATCGGTTAATTCGGACAATCGGCTAAAACGGACACCCTTCCCCCCCTATTAGTCCGAATTAACGAGGGTCGACTGTAATACCTTCTGCAAGAAGAAATCGACGGCCTAGTGCAAACTTCGCAATCTAAAGCACGATTGGTTTAAAAATAAAGCATGTGAAACACAAAAATTTGCAGATCAGCACAAGATGCGCAAATTTTTCAGTTCCACAAAATATTTTATGGGCCAATCACTCGTGGCGTAGCCCCCCTCCGCTCATCCAACAGTAACTCCCTAATTAAAGACGATGAAAGCATCCTTCAGCGCTGGAAAGAGCACTACCATTCACTGCTCAAAGGAAACACTGATGTGGATGTCCTGACTACCTCTGAAACTCAAAATTCAATGCTATGGTGGGTGAAATGGTATACAAAGTAAAAATGGTGGAGATCCGGATTATGCTGATGAGAAATCCGAGGGTGGCAAGGGTCTACTGTACAGGTGCTCCTCTACTTACAAACAAGTTACGTTCCTGAGGCTTGTTTGTAAGTCCAACTTTACTCCTGTGGATACCAAACATATTGTAAATATTGAAAAGATTATGGATATTTAGTACAGCTATACCCTTTAATACAGCCTTAAAACCTGGCTCACTGTTCTCCTCTCAGGTTATGTTTGTTCTATCTGGAATTTTCTTCAAAATAGTCCAGTCTCATCCACATTAAACACCTGTTCTGGCAGGTAACCCCCTTCAGTGATGATGTTTGTATCTCTGAAAGTTTGCAAGTTGAACATTCTTAAGTAGAGGAGCACCTGTATACTATTTTAAAACTAATAATTTTTATTACAGTTTGTAGCTACAGTTACAGACAAAATTGTCTGAACACTTGGCAATATCTGGCAACATCTGCTTGATTCGTTTATATCTTTGACAACACAACATACATACTGTATATCGTTTCTCACTCTTTATTTATTTTTTTCATTTTTTATTTGTTTATGGCTATTAGTATTATTATTTTTGTTTTATTTTTTATTGAATTCTCTATTGATTATTAATTTTTAAAAAGTAAATACCCAAAAATGTTACTTGAGTGCAGTTATCAAGTAAATTTATTTAGTTACTTTACAACTCTGGATAACAGTGGGTGACATGAGTGAAGTGGATACAGATGTACAATGATGTCATGAAGAAGTGAGTGTGGTGATACACCCGCTGATAATCAACATGACAGTCTTAACTCTTTACCCCTTCTGTGTTTAATGATATGGTTGTATCTTAAAGAGCTTTGGTTATAGTTGGAAGGAGACACTTCTGTATGGCAACTGTCAAAGCATTACAATATATGGGTTTTAAAGACTGTAGATTGAGAGTGGGTTAATAATATGAGTCATCCACTTTGATATCACTCATAAAATGCAATTTCTGAATTAAAATACATTTTTTTCATGTCAGGAATATGGAGTGGAGAATATCGTTGCAATTGGGTCTGTGATATGCGTGTTGAATGGTAACTGGCGTGGGCATGCAGGTGGAAGGTTTGGAAGCATCCATGTTACAGAACTGACCTTCATTACCTCTTCACCACGAAGCGCCCACCTACTTGAAGCTGTTGCTCATCTGAAAAACAGTATAAAGGTGAGAATTCAGGATGTCTACAGTGTAACAGAAGGAAGCTTAGTGATTTGCATATTTCCACCCACTTGTGTTTCCAAGTACTGTATCTCCAGGGGTTATGAAGCATGAGATCTCATATAGTCGAGCAGAGTTTTGATAAGCACTGAATCCTTTGGGAGAAAACTTGTAAACCTGGTGCCACAATGGTCCCTAATACAACCACCATTCTGAATTTGAATGGGAGTAAAAGCTACTGAGCATCTAGCTTGCAGCTAAACACTAACTGTATGAAAAGTATGACTGACTTTTGGTGATGTAGCTATTATAGGTTACTCATATCATACCTCGCTCCATCCTGTACAGGAGATCCCCAAGTTATAAACAACTCTGCTTATCAAGGTGATCCCATTACAGTACAGTGGTCCCTCGGTTAACGATTTACCTTCCATAAGATTCTTAACTTCGGTTAACGACCAATCCCTCGATTAACGAGTTTTTTATGAGCCGACTTCAACAGGTTTTCGCTTGCATTTGGCGGTCCACCAGCTGTAGTATTAGTCCGCCAATACAGTAATCGGTTTTAGGGCTTAAATTCCTTACTATTTTAGTAAATATCAAGAAGTTTATACTATTCAATAATTTTAAAAGTATAATATTAACTTTTTTTGTCATTTTAACAATTATTGAACATAATTGAAGGTAAAGAAACTAGTTTCTGGCGTGCCATCCAGCCTGTTAACACACCAGACAGGCGTTAGTCTCTCTCTGTTTTCAGTGGAGGTAACATCTTGCTTGAGACTCTCTTCAACTAAACGCTTTTTTTCTGCGTTTCCAAGCAAATTATTGGTCATTTTGAAATATATTTTACATATTGACAATATATAATGCAGTGCAGTGTTGATTTAAAGAAAATAATCTTGAAATACACCAAGAGAACTAAAATTTTATGGGTGAAATGGTGCCATGGGGTGATTTCTCTTCCACCCCAATGCCTTCTCTTCTTCCTTCTCCTCCACCTCCATTCTAATTCCCATCATCATCATCATCATCATCATCCAGGAGCCTTCTACATACACACCTCAAAGTAAGTGTACTTTTCTACCTTTTTTGTTGAATTTAGGCAATTTTCGGTGAGCTGGAACCAATTACCCAAAAATCCATTGAAACAATGGTTTCGGTTAACGAGCAACCTGCTTGAACGGATTGTGCTCGTTAACCGAGGGACCACTGTACATTATATATTGAGCACTGTACTAACCCCCAGGTAGCTTTAGGGTGGGTAGTCGTCAAGGTTAATAAAACTTTTTTTTCTGCATATTATTTGCAATTTGTGTTATGTATCATTTATGGATTATAATTATATTAAGGTTTTTGCAGATAGAGATGGGGTGTATTCACATTTTATTGCAAAATTAAGATGATGCTGAGTTACAAACAAACTGAATTATGACTGGATCCAGGAATGTAACCCATTCATAACTGTACTGTTGTGTGTTGACTCTCAATGCAACCTGATTTGTGATTCATATACAGTATGTAAATTTGCCTTGCATGTACAGTAGAACGTCGATATAACACGAGATAGGTTCCAAGAGAGGTCGCTTTAAACCGAATTCGCACTAAATCAAAGTGTTGTTTCAATGAAATAATTTAGTTTGGTACTTGAAAGAAACACAAAATACTAAAAAGACTGAGAGTCTGCCCAGATGCACATCAGCCCATCTCCTAGAATAAACAAAACATTGTTTTTTTTAATTATTATGTTAAAAAAAACACTCATAAATCAACAGCTAAAATTAAGGGATGCGAAATGGTCTGTTTACTGGCTGGGAAGATGGGGGGGGAAGGGAGGTGAGGTGATATGTTTGACAGTTGATGCCAAGGTCTAGTGCTTATTTATTTATCAGTCCTTAAGAGTGACTTAAAGTTTTTATCCTATAAAATGTCACTGAACTGACATGGGAGAATATAATTAACATTGCTGGAATTCTTATATGATAGTGATTAATTTAAATATAAACATGCAATAGTTTGCACTAGACAAAATTTTAGTACCGTATATCTTGGCCTATAAGGCGTCGGGGTGCATAAGACGGCCCCCCCAAATTTCCATTTAAAAAGTAGCTTTTGAGCTCTATTCGCTGTATAAGACCAGTACCCCAAATGTGACACTTACCCACTGACTCAGTAGTCCTTTACCAACCATCCTTGATTTTTTAAAATAAGGCCAATTCACTTCAAGTAATGTCATCAAATTATACCCGCTGGTGTAGTGTAAACACTAGTGACGTCACTGAAGCGTGGTGGGAGTGTTCCCTCGTCTCGGTGGTGTGACTATTTATACAACATGTGGTTCAACAGCAACCACCATATTCTAATTGTGGTGTTTCATTAGGATTTGAGTGAAAAGGTTACCAGTATGTACTTACTACATACATTTATTACACAAATATATATATATATATATATATATATATATATATATATATATATATATATATATATATATATATATATATATATATATATATATATATATATATACAGTATATATATACAGTATATATATATACACACATACATACATACATACTACATCCTTGACCACCGAAGGGTCAAGATGTACCTGGCGCTCCTCTCGGAGCAGCCAGATCAACTGTTAAGTTGGCCCATACCAACCCCCTCCCCTGAACCACTTCTCCCCACCGGAGTATCAACAGGTTCTCTCCAGAAGTTACAATTTCATTTGGGAAAGGAATGGAAAAAGTGTTAAACAGAGGTGAACATTGGTGAACAGTGCTTGAGTCAGTGAGAACAACTCAACAGTAAAAGTAGTATTCAAGTTAACCTTCACACAGTGAGGTCCCAGGTACCCAGTGATAACGGCCCGTGAGACCCAACAACCGGCGATGTGTTAATCCGTCTACGATAGGAAGGCCTGGGGCCACACCTCACTCATATAACACCATCTGTGAGGGAATTACTACACCACGTCAAGTCCCTCATAACACCATCTGTGAGGGAATTACTACACCACGTGATGCCCCTCATAACACCATCTGTGAGGGAGTTACTACACCACGTCAAGTCCCTCATGACACCATCTGTGAGGGAATTACTACACCACGTTAGGTCCCTCATAACACCATCTGTGAGGGAATTACTACACCACGTGATGCCCCTCGTAACACCATCTATGAGGGAACTACTACACCACGTGAGGCCCCTCATAACACCATCTGTGAGGGAATTACTACACGTGAGGCCCCTCATAACACCATTTGTGAGGGAACTACTACACCACATCAGGTCCCTCCTAACACCATCTGGGAGAGAGTTACTACACCACATCAGGTCCCTCCTAACACCATCTGGGAGAGTTACTATGATACGGTTTGTTGTTCAACACTCTACATTAATCTGAATGTTCACTGTATGTTCCTTACCTTTCTCTAATGAAGGCTTTTGGTTAAACCACCAATGTAAGTAATGTTTACGAGAACTAATGTATATTTTCAGCCTTCGCTGCAGAAATTTTTCTAATAAACTGTTAATTATTATTATTATTATTACATATATACATATACATATGCGACATACATATATATGCTAACCTCACTACGTTAATGTAACCCGAGGTGTAATGATTGATTGTCAGACCAAAGCTTACAGCCCAGAATTATGTCACATATAACAGCAAGTACACTACAGACCTCGTGGTACCACCAAATTCCGGGTTGACACACCTCAGGTCGACCCTAGGGACTTGACCTCGCCCGCTATCCAGATCAAACCAGTTTAGTGATAATTGGTTAGAGGTCAAAAGCCGGCTGGGCCGACCCCATATAAAGGCTCTACAGTCCCGTTCACGATCATTCTGGTCATTCTGATTATCATTCTGATCCTGGTTGCCATTCGAACATTCGAACATTACTCTGGAGATTCTCAGAGTCACGCTTGTCCTCTCCCCAGGTCGGGAGGGGGACTTCCCGACCAGACCCCAGCTAAACAGAAGCCTCCCATAGGAGGCAGCCCAGCCAAGCATCCACTGGGCCTACGTCAGGGTACACGTGAGTCTTGTCAGAACGGTTCCTAGGGTGAGTTACCTACTGTGGGAAGTGTATTCATTCAGGTGTGTCCGAGAGTCAGTGTCGAGTAACGTAAAACATAATGTGTTAGTACCCCGATATAATAGTGATATTAATGTGTCCATGTCATTGAGGGAATTAATAAATAGTTGTATCGAAGAGGTGTTTAACAAGTTGTCCCTTTAAGAAGTAATATATGTTTTATTGTCATACGAGATAAGATAAGCGTATTGACGCTGAGTAAATAACATCCCGGCCACGCTACCAAGTTTCCTATCTTTACATTCCTACTCTCTATTCTTACTTATATATGTAATTCTCTCATTGTGTTCTGTCTCATTATATTGGTGGCAGCGAACTATAACGTTAACCCACGCCCTCCTCGTCCCTTGTTATTGGTAACAGTGTACTTAACGTAAACCCATGCCCTCCCTCGTTTAGCCATAACACCTGGCTCGTTGTTTGAGTATAGTTCGTAAGTGCGTAATAAGAAGTTCCTGCGTAGTAGCGTGTAAAGTGTCCTAGTGTGTCACCGTTACAGCTCAAGTAAATGTCTCTCGTTGTGGTATGCGCCAATTTTTACTAGAAATATGTTCAGTGCTTAACGTAATTTCTCAGTGTCCCCCGCGATCTGTGACATTCTCTGTAGCCCAAGTGCAGTTTGATTGTTGGTCAGTGTTAAATGTAGCCATTGTGTTTCAGTGATGAAAGCGGTGTCTGTACTAACTGTTATAACTTAACATGTCTTTTAACCTACATCCTCCTCCTTGTCCTAATCCTCACCTCACCCTCCTTACCCTTCCTCCCATCCCTGCCCCGCCCTGCCCCGCCCCGCCCCGCAAAGCCCGGGCCTGGCCCGATCAACCACGCCTCGGCTCCTCCCCACCTCACCCACAACGCACCGGCCTGGCTTGGCCTGGCCAGCCTCGCCTCGCCCAGCGCCGCCCCGCCCCGCCTCGCTTGACCACACTAATCCCCCATCTTTTGTCCCGTAAGCTATGTGTTGATGATGATGGTTAATATAAAGTAATATTGCGATGAATGCAGAGCTTCACTCAGTGTATTTTTATGCTATTATGATTTGTGATGTACTCTTTGACGCGTAGTGATAAATGATATTCAGTGTAGTGCGCAGAGCTTC